TGTGTCTAGCTTACTGCACTGAAGACAAATGGAAAGGAATATTATTACTCAGCTTACATAAAGGAGAGCCTCGTAGCTGCAGTGACATGGACGAACTGGAAGCCATGTTTAACAAGAGAACAGGAGAGGCTCATTCATGAGTCTAGGGGCAAGTCCAGCCCAAAGGACCCTTGTCTGTGGAAGAAGGTGGGGTAATTAACTCCACCTCCCACCTGAAAAGCGCTCCACTTCCTTTGGAGATGTAATTCGCAAACCATAAAAGGCACCCTTTTAAAGTACACAGCCCAGTGATGTTTCAGCTTATTCAGTTACACTTCCATTACCACTAATTCCAGAATACTTTTGCCTCCCTCCAAAAGAAATCCTGCTCCCACTAGCATTCATTCCCCATTCCTCTCTCCTTCCACCCTACCCGTCCCTGGCAGCCACAAATCTACTTCTGGTCTCACACAGTCTGTGGTCCTTTGTGTTTGGCTTCTTTCATTGAGCGCAATTCACTTTAGATTTTGGGTTGGACATTTGGGTTGGTTGCACTTTTGGGCTATGAAGAAAAATGCTGTTATATTTATGTGCAAGTTTCTGCGAAGACATACATTTGTTATCGTGGTGGTTGACTGTGTCAATCTAAGAAGTTCAGTTAAGAGAATTTTTACCAAATCAGCTCTGCAGTTCCACACGGTAGGGCAGCTCATCACCTGGAGGGTATAAAGGGAGGCGAGGAGGGACAGATCCACTTCTGTTTCTCCAGGGTGGCTCCACTCTTTGCCTTCAGCGTAGATGTCATCTCCTGGCTTCTGGCACATACACTTCAGCCTTCAGGTGCAGTCTTCGGCTTCCAGTACAGACCCATCGGCTCCCGATACGGCTCACAGGACACTTCAGTGAGCTCCAGACCTTGGGCTGAGTCTCCACACTGGAGACACCCTCTGCACGCTTCCACTGTAAACTGACCTTGAGATTCTGCATTATATCTGTTTCTCTAGTAAAAACACCGACTGACACAGTCACTGACTTGGATATTACCCTGAAACTGCTGAGTCATATGGCAACTTTGTGCTAACTTTTGTTTGTTTTGTTTTTGTTTTGTGGTGCTGGGATCAAGCCCACGGCCTTGTGCATGCTAGGTAAGAACTCTACCACTGAGCCACATCCCCAGCCCCGTGCTCAACTTTTTTGAGGAGCTGCCCAACAGTTTTGTGTAAGTGTCCAACTTCTCCACAATCTCAGCAGCACTTATTAACATCCATGAATAGGGTCCAGCTGTTCTAGTGCATGTGAAATGGTATCTACCCAAGTTTAAAACCAAATGAGTAACACAGGTGTGAGTGAGAGATGGAAATGTCAACTTTCACTGATAAAGCCAGACTAGAGGAGGGCCTGAGTTGAGAATATAATGAGCCTGCTAATGCCACAGCCAAAGTCAGCCAGACTGACCCACCCAGGCACAGCCAATAAACACTCTGCCCCTCACCTCTCACTCACAGGGGCTGCCACCAGGCAAACAAAAGCACAGAACTAGAGAAAGAATACTCACTTCCTATAAGTGGATCTTATCTCCCCAAAACAGAGGTAGAAACGACTGCAGAGACACACTCAATGCCTCGCCCCCAGTTAATTCGTTCTTCCTTCTATGGGCAAAGTAAGCAAGGAAACTAGATGAAACCGGTAGGAAAAAAGGCTAGGAGAGGAGATTTCCCCCACCTAATACTGACGGAGAGTAGAGAGCCGGTGGGAGACTGGGATAGATTTCATCCGTCTATTCAGTCACACGCTGCTGGGCAGGTGGCAATTTCTCTTACACACAGGAAAGAAACCAAAGTATTAGTAAGCACTCAAAAATATGCACTATGGGCCAGGCATGGTGGCTCACACCTGTAATCCCAGCACTCGGGAGGCTGAGGTGGGAGGATCGTTGCGAGTTCAAGACCAACCTAGGCTACAAAGTGAGCTCAAGGCCTGCCTGAACTGTATAACAAGACCTGGTCTCAGAAAGACCAAAACAAACAAAAAAAGTATTATGGCTCATCTAAGAGATTTAGAAGAAGTGTGACTATATCAAACTAAAAAGCTCTACACAAAGGAAACAATCAACAGAGTGAAGAAATACCCTACAGAATAGGAAAAAATATTTATAAATCATGTACTTACTAATGGGTTACTAATCAAAATATAGAAGAAATTCAACTCAAAAGCAAACAACCCAATTAAAAATGGGCAAAGGACAAGAACAGATATCTCTCAAAGGAAGACACAAAACAGCCAATAGGTACATAAAAAAATATTCAAGATCGCTAATCATTAAGAAAACGCAAAGATAAGCCAGTTTTTAGCATCTCTAGTTCTGGAGTTTCCTACACCTGGAAAGGAATCTTTTCTAACCCACTTTCATCCAATGAAAGTAAAAGCAAGACATTAACCTCTTCTTAGCTACTGAGCAAGGGGTTGCTGGGAGCAAAGCAGAAAAATCTAGACAATTCTCTTCAAAGAGTAATATGTCATTTTGTTTGCAAACAATTGCCAGAACATTTTAAGTTTCTACATTTACATTTAACTTCAAAGCCAAATAGGCTGCTGGTGACTCCATTCTTCCCGTCATGTGAAAAACACTCTGTGTGTGATGCTGGCAGGTGCATGCCTCTCATGCATGTGTACCTTATAGCTGGAGAGCTTGGGAAAAAAGGTTGCATAATATGCAAAAACAAGTGCAACCTATCACTCCTACATAGCAATTCCCCTTCCTGGTGCCCTACCCTAAGGTTCTCTTAGTAAACAATATGGAAAGCAACCTTTGTAAACTTATTCTTAAAATACTTTAAAAACTATGTATGCCATCTGAATTTATGCAAACTTTCAGGAAAAAAATTGCCAATATGTGCCAAAAGTCTTTTTAAAATGTACAAATTCTGACACCCCCCCCAAGAATCCCATTCTCAAAATTAACCCTTAATTAATTATGAAGAATGTGTTTACAATGTACCTGAAAGGCTTTTCCTCAGGGTTATTTGCACAGTGAAAAAAAGAAAGCAGTCTCAATGTCTATGAGAATTTTAAATTACAACAAATGAATCAGAAGGGCGGGGGAGATGTGGTTCAAGGGACAGTGTTTGTGTAGTATCTGTGAGGTCCTGGACTCAATACTTAGGTTGTCAATAGTGAAAAACAAAAGAATTAGAATATTAGAATTAAAATAAAAGACTAAAAAGAAATGAACACAAAAGTCAACTGTGGTGAACACATCTTCTCTTGTGCAGGCTGACACACCTTTTTGCCGTAAATTTTCATTGCCTTTTGGAGCAGGCCAGGAGCACCTTGCTAATGATAAGGTCTCCTTTTGGGACCTCAAATGACCTCGCAAGCCTATTAGCGATTCTGCTTCTGGACCTGCTGAGAAGCTGGGATCGGGTTCCTGCAGCCTGCGAGGCACTCGGTGGCTTCTTTGCTGAGTCTATGAAGTTCTCGTGCCTCCTCGTCTACCAGCTCCATGACTCAGCAGAGCACAGGGCACCGGCGCGGCTGATGGAAGCTGCAGCTTGCACATATGCCAGGCAGCACCATGCCCACACCTGATCTAGCACTGCTGCTCACTCTGCACAGCACTAACTTTCAGGGAGATTCAGCAACCTCAGGATGCAGCCGACAGCAAGAAATGATAAACAGCAAGAGTAATATACCAACATTCTGAACCCACAGCATACCGGGCAAAGGCTGAAACATACTTCAATTACAACTGTGCCCACTGTAAATTGGATGGTTATAAATCCTGAGAAATGCCCTGGCTCCCTGGGCAGTGTTTACAATTAGGTCGCCTGTAAACTTTCACTGAGAGGCTATAGATTGAAATGCCTGGTTCTCCCTCTGCAGAACTCAGCAGGTCTGCACGTGAAAGGTGCCGCTTTTTGCCTGACACTCGCTGACAAACTCCAAGAAAACACATGCCACCCTGTTTCCCACTTTGCTTTGTCCCCTCATCCTCTCGTGCTTATGTTTATCTGTGGACACTGCATAAGCTGAATGACTGTCTGGGTACTACTACAAGTCACAGTTTTGCCCCGACTGTTAAGAGATCACTGTATTTCTTACAAATAATCCCTCTATTGCTTTAATTTAAATCTGCTTGCTATGGATTGATCCTCCACAAGAAGATGAAAGTTATCTCGAGCTGAAGTACAGCCAGTGCCCAATACCCTTTATGCTACAACATTTAGTGGCTTCGAGCAGGTTTATGTGGCCTCTCTCGGCCTTAATTATTTCCTTTGTACAACAGCAGTAATGATACACACCTTGCCAAACTGTTGGGAAGGTCAGGAATGAGAATGCTACCTAAATCTGACCTCCCTTTGTCCCTCCTGGACACTGCAGTCACCTGCCCTATGTGGCCACTCTAACAGCCCATGCAGTCTCAAGATTCAGATACTCCGACAGTGAGAGACCAGCTGAGCATCCCTGAACTGAAACCCGGGAAATCCAAAATGTTCTGAAACTTTCTGAGAGCCAAGGGTATACCACAAATAGAAAACTCCAGTGTTCAACGCAAGAAACTGCTTAACATGCTGCATAAAATTATCTGCAGGCTATGCGTATAAGGTATACAGGAAACAAAAGTGAGTTTTGTGTTTTGACTCAGGTCTCATCCCCATGACGCCTAATTCTGTTTGTGCAAATATTCCAAAATGCTCACAAAACTCCAAATTCCAAGGTACTTGTGTCCTAAGCATTTCAGGAAAGGGGCGGGCACCTTGTGTGTTGCTATGGAACCACTCAGCTCCTTACACCACCCCATAAAGCACTGTACACATAACCCAAACCACGTTTATTGTTCTGAATACACTGAGTCTCTAGGTTTACCTCATGTTTGTAAATTTGTAAAAATTTTTCAATAAAAATAGCACCCTTGTAAAAGTGATTCATCTGAGACAGACATGAGACCAATACGGGCTCCACAGTCAGTTCCATGATGGGCACACTTACACTACAGCGTTTCCGGAAACTTCCACACGTACCTTAGAGTATTGCGGCTTCCCATTTTCATAGTGAATCTCCACATAATCAGAAGACAGCAAGCCACTAGAAAAGAAAAGAAAACAGGGTGATTTTGCGTCTAACAAAACAGAGATTTAGATACAGCTCAACAAGTAGACGTGTGGGCAGGAAGACCACAAATAGTTTCAGTCTACAGCTGGTCTAAAACCAGGCTGCCACCCAGAGTTTCAAACACCGTCCAGTGACGAATCATTTCTCAGTCTGTGGAAAAAAAAAAATAGAAGACATAGATAACTGAAGGGTGACTCCTTATACTGAGGCCCTAATTGGAATAAGGCATTATCAGAAAATATAGTGGATATTTAAAGTTTAAAAATTTATTACAGTGAAAGGCACATGCCACTAATTCCTTGTAAAAGAACCTCACTTCAGACATATTTACACCATAACTCTTGCCTCCTTCTGGAAGTCCTCTTTTGTGAGAGTCTTCAGTTGTGTTCTGTGGCTGCCTGATATTCTAAATCCATTCCAACCATTGACTTTTCATGGTTCCTTTGATTTTGGGAAAGAGTTAGAAGCCATATGGTCCCCTAACCAATGAATAAGGGGGATGACATTACACTATGTTAGGAGCCTGCCTTTGCACTGAATGGCAGTGGACAGCAGCATTTCCTGTATTTTTTATTATACTAGATACTCATGAAGGAGTATTTCCAGAACTGGTTCAGAGAGGGACAAGAACAACTGGACAAGTGTGTTCATAGCAACGCAAGTATTTTGAGAAGGGTTAATGGCAATGTGTCTTTTAGTGTAATATTTCTCTTTTTGTTGTTGTTGTTTGTTTTGAGATAGGGTCTCCCTACATAGTTCAGGCTGGTCTTGAACTCACTATGCAGTCCAGGCTGGCCTCGAACTTGTGTTGATCCTCCTGTCTTAACCTCCAAGTGCTGTGATTTACAGGCATGCATCACAATGCCTGGGCAGCATAGTTTTTATTTAAACATTCACCACATATTTTGATCAACCCTTGTATGCCAATTTAAATGGAATGAACTAAGCTTCAATTAGCGAAACGACAGACCCTGTTTTTAAAAAAATCACACAATGCGCCTAATAGTTGAAATTTCATAAAATATAATCGTTGAGGAAAAACAAGTGTTGGCGACTGTTTTCAGAGTCAGCTGGATATTAAATATCTGCAGCTCCTCAGAAGCTATCACCCAGGCAGCCACAGGCAATATGTAAACAAATGAGTGTGGCTGGATTCCAATAAAGCTTTATTTATGGATACTGAAATTTTAATTTCACACAATTTTAATGTGCGATGAAACATCACTCTTCTTTAGATTTATCCCAACCACTTAAAAATGTGAAGAACATTTTTAGCTTTCAGTTGGTGCAAAAATAGGTCTGGCTGGATTTAGCACTGAGGGCTGCAGTTGGCCAACAACTAACATAAAACAGCAGTTAGGAACACAGACTTTGAAACAGAAAGAACAAGGTAGAAAACCTCAGCCCAGCCCCTCCTTTGTGTTGTGAAAATGGGCGAGTTCCCTCACATGTGTCAAATGGAGGTGGGCCTAAGTGTGAACCTCACAGGCCACCGTAAGGGCGCAATGAAGCCATATCCCATAACCTACCACTAGGGCTCACTATGGGGCACCATGGCTGCTTCTTTCATTCCTTTGACTCAAGCTCTTAAAACACGGTTCCTTGCACATTATGGAGAACACAGATTTGTGTTTCCTCAATGGTCCTGGATTAGGGTACCTGGGTTCCAATTTGGGCTCTGCCACTGGAAATGATAACAAATGATAATTTACATTCATTGGCCATTTACAATGTCCGGGCCCTATTCAGGGGGCTACAAAAGCATAAATTTCTTGAACTGTAATGGTAGCTGATAGGCAACAGTATGTGCTAATCTGAGCCAGTCATGCACCCTAAGTTTATGCCTTTGCTTCCTCTTCTGCAAAATGAAGGGCTGAAGCAGAAGACTTCTCAAGTTCCTTTCTGCTCAGAATTTCTCTCTTTCTATACCTGTGCCCAGTGCTAAGTTCTTTTTCTACAAACCTGGACACTACTTTTTAAGTGAAGAAAGGAACAGTCTATGATTTTGCCTCATTTTGTGAGCCATACCCACTGCATTCTAAAATATCCCAATGAGATGAGCTAGTGAGGGATGGATTGGAGCCAGTCTGCAGGTGCCAGGAGTCTCCTGTGTGAAACCAGCAAAGGACAATCTTCAAGACACAGAAATAAAGTGTGAGCTTACCCTTAGATATGCCTCCATATTTGAAACTGTAAATCAAATACTTAGCAATTGCTGACTCTACAGCTAAATTATGTCAGGTCTACTTTAAAAAAACAAAATCTAAGTCGTGGTGAAAGTGATGGCAACACGTAACTCTCTATACATGGAAACGCCTGCCGGAACAGAAACAGACGCTGCCATTGCTAATCCGCCACCCCAGCCAGCAGCACTGTGAACACATGCAAAGTCCCGGGGTGGGAGCTCCTCTCTGAGGAGATCTGCAGCGCTGCCAGGGGGGAGGTGTCTCCAGCTGGTTCCTAACTGCATCTCTCAGCAGTAATTCATTATTTTCACATTTTTCAACCACCCAACCATCGGAGCACGGCTAATTGTTAGAAACAAAGTTATTTTAGACCCTGTTTTTGCTTGTCATTGAAATAATGGAGAAAGGCACCTCAACCACTGGTTATCAAATCTGACAAAGGTCACTTTAATTGTTCTATGTCTCCCTTTTAAAAAGACTCTCACTCAGAGCCAAACCTATTTCTAGTAATTCCTGCATTTGAGGGTTTCAGAGAAGAAAAACAGCTACTTTCCAGACACCAGCAGAAAGAGAGCCCGCTGTGCCCCCTCTTGTAGCGAGCATCTGCTGCACCCCTCCTTTCTGCTCGCCCTGAAACCGCCTCTCTCAGCCTGGTGCACAGCAGGCCCTGGTCCCCGGCCACCAGGTGAGCAGATGACTCCCAGCCCCTGCTGCACCCTCGGCCTGTACCACACATTGCGGGGACAGTGAAGAATGCAACTCAGAACCCAAGCAAAATCAGCACACAACGTAGGGCTGATCATCTGACCCTTAAGTAGCGCAATCTCCTGAAAGTAAATGAACGCCAAATGAAACGTAACCAGATTCATTATAAAACACGTTGAAGCAATAGGAGTTTTGATGATGGACAAGAAACACAGAAAAGGAAGACTGAAAATCAGTAACTGTGCCTTCGCGTTGTCTTTATCCAGCTGAAAAAGAACAGATACTCTGTCTGTCGGTCTGTCTGTCCGCAGGTGAGCTAGCTGTCTGACAACCCCTGAGGCAGGTGTCCGGCAAGATACCTTCATGTCCTCTCATTTCCATAGTAGAACCTCCTGTTGGAAACGATACCTTTTCATGCCAGTACTGAGCTCCTTAGGCTGACGTTTTACTTTGCTCGTCAGTCAGTTGGATGCTTGCTTTTTCGGGAATTCCTAAAAGGGGGCTTCTGAGCACACTGCATTGCTCATGCAGGTTCTCAGGGGAGAGACAGGTGGGCCTCAGAATGAAGGCTGGGAGTTCAAAGCCGGGTGCAAGAGGACAGACAAACTCGAGTGAGGAAACTCTTGGATCCACTCATCTGCACCTTCCGGTGACTCTGCACCACCATGGTCCTGAAAAGAACATGAGCTACAAATCGGAATGGATGCAATCGTAATCAAAATGTGGAGGGTTAGTACTCGAAGAGGCTGTGTTCCAACAGCAGGGAAACCGAAAGACAATTTAGAAATGGCATACGAGCCACAAGTCTGATCAATAAAGGGAACTGCAACAGAAATAACAGAAATAAGGTTGTTCATCCACAAATGCCATTCCTTCTTCCCCTTCCCGGCAACCTGGCAAACTGGAAGACCTCACTTAGCAGCTTCCCAGCAGCTAGATTAGGACCGCAGAATGGTTTGTGGTTTCGAGAGCTGGGAAGTGATATCTGCCCCTCCGTGTGACCATTAAAATCCCTACACGATTATCCAAGCTCCTCTTCCATAGCAAACCTGGGCACCACCTGCTCCAGATGGCACAGCTGCAAGACGGACGCAGTTTATTCCTCCAGCATAATTTGAAGAGTCACTCAATTTGTATTCAACCATAAGATAAGGGAAGCTAAAATTTTAGGGTTAAGTCTCAGATTTGGTTGTCACTGAAACACTATCTAAACTCTCCTAATTTCAGGGTTTATCACAGAGAAACAATTTAGAAATTTATGTTGAACCAATTTGATAATCACCAGCAGAGACACAGAGCTTCTGCTACATCCAGGATGCTACTATATCTTCATGCAGTGAAACAATCCCTGAGTGTTCCATGTATGCAAACAAAACAGATACATGAATAGTCATGTGGCCAAAACTCCCAAATCTTTTATCTCCCATTATAAGAAGGCTAACAGAGGACAAGTCAAGAATCTCAGTAACTGCGAAAAAGGAATTCAAAAAATGGAAGGATTTCCCTTGCTTATGGATAAAAATAACCAACACTGTGAAAATAATCATACTCCCCAAACTGTAATACAGATTTAATCCAATTCTGATCAAAATACCATTAGCATGCTTCACAGAACTACAGAAAGCATTCCTAAAACTCATTTGGAACCAAAAGAGATCTCAAATAGTAAAGTCAATCCTGGGCAACAAAAGTAAGGCAGGAGGCATCACAATCCCTGACTCAAAATTATACTACAAAGCTACTGTGATAAAATCAGTATAATACTAGGAAAAAAAACAGACCTAAGGATCAGTGGAACACAATAGAAAATACAGACACAACTACAAACACACCAGCCACTGTATCTTTGACAAAGGGGCTAAACACGTTCACTGGAAGAAAGACTTCTTAACAAATGGTTCTGAACATCAAAGAAAACACTAAATCTTCTGAAAGAGAAAGTACATAGTAATCTTGAAGACATAGGACTAGGCAGAGAGTTCATAAACGAAAACCAAACTGCATGGGAAGTACTTCAAAGAATCAACAACTGGGATCTCATCTTTTTAAAAAGCTTTTGGACATCCAAAGAAATCACCAACA